CCCTGAATGATACAAAAAATACCAACAAGAAATATAAACAAAGAAAAAAGTTATGCTGTTATTGGCATGTATATGTAAAGCAATGCGGCGCACGGTATAACTTTGAAATTGACGTTAACGACGTCACAAGCGTATTTATCTTAACGGAGCAGCATTTTACTCATTCACGGAGTAGGCAAATACGTGGAACAGTCATGTTGTTGATGCGGCGGATCCACTGCCTATATATATTTCTGTACAAGTGGGTATCATATTGTATTGTAAAATAATGAATGATGATAAAGAACTCCTGTAATGACGCAAATTTCCGTTCTTTCCTTCTGTTAACTTGATTGTTGGAAAAAAACGCACATGCAATAAACCATATTATGTATTACAAATAATGTTAAATAATGTTGCTGAATGATAATGTATCATACATAAGAAAAAATAAAAGAGTAAAACAACTATGAACAAAATTGTCATTATTTTAAAATAAATAAAACGCCTAGCTGATTTTGAACAGTGACTGTCTAATTGTTGACACAATTTCTCCATAAAACTACTGCGTGAAATAAGAAAATAATTGATACAATTGTAAACCAAGAATACAATATATGTAATTAATGCATTAACTATTATCATTTTAAAATGCTTAGAGTTGACTGCACCGTACCGTAGCTACTGTCGAACATCGTTGACAATGTCCGCAGTCAATCGGCTGTCATTTCTCAACGTCTTGGCGATTGACGTCACCAACGTCCTTGAAAATTTCTTTTTTCTGTCCCTCCCTTACTTGTTTTCTATTTCTCTATTATCCTTCTTAATTCTTTATGCTAATAAAAATATGCTGTGGCTTTCTGGAACTTTTCCCTTGATAGCCGTAATCTTTTTCTACGTTTTAAACAGTTTCTTGTCTTTCTTTTGACATTTTTTTTCTTATTGATCGATTTTCGAGACATTCCGACGACATTGTTTTAACGGGAGTATTTCATTAGCATGTGACGTTTGAATTGTGATTGCAAATATAAATATGGTTTAAATGAAGTTAATTTTTCTGACAACGTCAAAGATATGGTTCATGACGTTTTGGCGTATTTTGAAATCTAAATGTGCCATATTGTTAAATATACGCAGCTTAAAGCGCCTGCTGTCAAGGCGAATTTACGCACTGCGCCGGGTGTGCGTTACCATGGTTTTTGAATTTGCTGTTACGGACAAGCTATTTGCATTATCAGATAAGATATAGTATCAGTTTACAGGTATTGTTTTCCGATTAAGTGTGATATATAACAATAATTGATAGGTTGAAAAATTTTCAATTGACAGTCACAGTCCGGTTTATTTTTGATCATCCCTCGTATGCAAGGGAATTATTGTTTAGTATCATTTAGTTTGGTTGAACGGGGCGACATTGACACATTACTGATTATATTGCGCCGAACACTGTAATAAGTAAGGTGCAAGTGAGTAAGTGCAGTCTTTAAATACTTTTACGTCCTTTAAGTAATCGATCAGGATTTTTAAAAGAACTGAGGAAAATGTTCTCGTTGTGAATTGACCTGATTGAATATATCTCAAACATGTGGAAGATCATGGCAAACAAGCAAGAAATGTGTGACAGTCAAATATTGCAAACATTGCAAGACATAAAAATAGAGCATCATCTCCTGTTCAAAGGTATGAATTTGTAAATCTATAATGTCAACGTCTACGTCTAAGAAGAACAGCTTGATCGTGACGGTTCAGAAGAGAAAAATTTACTCATTCAGGGTTAAGAATTACTATTTAGTAACTATAAAGCTACTGGTTGAGAATTTAAGGGATCTTTAGCCAACACGTGATCTTTGCTATTTCCCTTAATCCTACATTGCCCGAAATCCAACATAATTTTACTAATTTAGCTTAACAAAACGAAATGGCAACATTAGTTAATCATTTTTTAATCATTATATTATCGGACATTCTATTTTTAATTAGTAATGAAAATTAGTGACTCCGAAAAAAATTACAAATTTATGTCCATTATGCTATTAAACATATGACATCAGCAATGACACTATAAAACTATAAGTATAATTAGACAAATTATTATAAATCTTCAGAAATGTGTTGATTGAGGTGTGATAATATTCCTGTATAAATGTGTTGTGGCTTTCGTTTAGTTTAGCAGTATGATCAGTTATCATTAAATTTATTTTTTCAACTCAACTTAACTCTTTTATTTTCATGATTAAAGGCCTCCGGCCCAAAATATATATCTGATAATCAAGCATTTGTAATAGGTATGTCTTATATATCAACAAATATTCATGACATTGTCTACTAACTTCAATATAATAGCAGGTATTCAATAATTTGTAATAACTTAATTATAGCTGTATTCAGTATTCATGACATTTGTCTACTAACTTCAATATATAATAGCAGTATTCAAGATATTTCTTCTATAATAGGCTGTATTTATGTATTCATGACATTGTTACTAATTCAATATAATAGCAGTATTCAAGATATTTCTTAACTTCAATATAATAGTGTATTTAGTATTCATTTTTTGACATTGTCCACTACTCAATATCATAGCAGTATTCAAATATTTCTAATAACTTCAATATAATAGCTGTATTTAGTATTCATGACATTGTCTACTAACTTCAATATAATAGCAGAGTATTCAAGATATTTCTAATAACTTCAATATAATAGCTGTATTTAGTATTCATGACATTGTCTACTAACTTCAATATAATAGCAGTATTCAAGATATTTCTAATAACTTCAATATAATAGCTGTATTTAGTATTCATGACATTGTCTACTAACTTCAATATAATAGCAGTATTCAAGATATTTCTAATAACTTCAATATAATAGCTGTATTCAGTATTCATGACATTGTCTACTAACTTCAATATAATAGCAGTATTCAAGATATTTCTAATAACTTCAATATAATAGCTGTATTCAGTATTCATGACGTTGTCTACCAACTTCAATATAAAAGGAGCATTTGTGACATTGTCTATTAACTTCAATAAAAAAATGCAGTATTCATGACATTTTCTATTAACTTCAATATAATAGCAGTATTCATGATATTGTCTACTAACTTCAATATAACAGCAGTATTCATGACATTTTCTACTTACTTAAATATAAAAGCAGTATTCATGCCATTGTCTATTAACTTCAATATAATTATAGCAGTATTCATGACATTGTATATTTACTTTAATAGAATAGCAGTATTTATTATATTGTCTCCTAACTTCAATATAATAGCAGTATTTATGACATTGTCTACTAACTTCAATATACATGATATAATAGCAGTATTCATGAAATTGTCTACAAACTTCAAATAATAACAGTATTCATGGCATTGTCAATAGCAGTATTCAAGGCATTGTACCAATAGCAGTATTCATGACATTGTCTGTTAACTTCAATGCAATAGCAGATATTTATGACATTGTCTATTGAACTTCAATATAAAATAGGCAGTATTCATGCATTGTCAATAGCAGTATTCTAAATTTTCCCCTGCCTTTGGAAAAAAATAAGGTGAAGTTCTTCAAAAAAGGGTGAATCCCCCCCCCTCAAACGAGAATAGACACTGTGTGTATAGCAGTATTCATGACATTGTCTATTTACGTCAATATAAAAGCAGTATTCACGACATTGTCTTATTAAACTTCAATATAATAGCGGTATTCATGACATTGTCTTTTAACTTCAAAAGAATAGCAGTATTCATGGCATTGCCTAAAAAGTTCAATACAATAGCAGTATTTATAACATTGTCTACTAACTTAAACATAATAGCAGTATTCATGATATTATCTTCAAACTTCAATACAATTGCAGTTTTCAGTTTTCATTACATTATCTACTAACTTCAATATAATAGCAGTATTCATGACATTGTTTATTCTTTCCAATATAATAGCAGTATTTATGACATTGTATATTAAATTCAATATAATAGCAGCATTCATGGCATTGTCTATTAACTCAAATATAATAGGAGTATTTATGACATTGTCTACTAACGTCAACAAAATAACTGTTACAGTGTTCATGACATTGTCAATTAACTTCAATATAATAGCAGTATTCATGACATTGTCTACTTACTTCAATATAAGACAGTATTCATGACATTTTCTAATAACTTCAATGTAATAGCTGTATTCATGACATTGTCTATCAATTTCAATATAATACCATTATTTATGACATTGTATATTAACTTCAACATAATAGCAGTATTTATGACATTATTATTACAATACTATACTATACTATACTAAACTATACTAAACTATACTATACTATACTATACCATACCATACCATACCATACCATACCATACCATACCAACTATACTATACTATACTATACTATACTATACTATACTATACTATACTATACTATACTATACTATACTATACTATACTATACTATACTATACTATACTATACTATACTATACTATACTATACTATACTATACTATACTTTACTATACTATACTATACTATACTATACTATACTATACTATACTATACTATACTATACTATACTATACTATACTATACTATACTATACTATACTATACTATACCATACCATAGCATACCATACCATACCATATCATACTATACTTTTCTATTTAACTGATTTTCTTTTCACTTTAATCAATAGTTATTTTTTTTAGTATCGTTTTGTTCCTTCTTAAAAATTAAATTATTTTACATTAACGCACAATAATATTGGCTAAGTTTTTCTCATATATTCCTTGATTATAATAAGTAGTTAACTAGGATATAGGTGCTATAAGCTCTTTTTTATAAGAATATTGTATGTAGGTAAAACTGCATTTACCTTTTTTGTTATATAACACCGAATTATGATGATAGATGCACTATGCATATGTCCAATTAAATTTATGACTTTTTTCTAACGTTATGATGTATTTAGTTATTGTCAGGCTTTTCATCTGTTTATTTCATTTTAAGATGGACCATACCAGTCATCAACTCAATTATCACCATCAACACAAAATTACACCAAAAATGAGGGACAGAGTCTAAATGATATCATGTGTTCTGCTGAGTGCTATCCTGATTGCACATACACATGGAGGAAGACAAGACAAGGGCATACAACTACTGTCAGTAGTACAAGTGTTTTATCTATTGGGCAACTACACCGTGAAGAGGCTGCATTGTACACTTGTTCAGCTAAAAATCCTGAAAGGAGTTCATCTCCTTCAACAACAATACAAACTCTTGTCAATGTTAGATGTAAGTATATTATCAACATGAATTTTATTATATATTATCTCTAAGTATATAACAGAAATACTTTCTTTAGATACTAAAATGCGTTAAAAAGAGATTGAATAAAAAAACAGCCTCGGTTATGGGGTTGATGTTGAATACGGGTTCAAAAACAGAATTTCACCATTACATACGTAAATGTTGAATACTATATTAGCCGGTGCTAGGGAACGGTGTCCATTAACAGGCTCGATCAAACCGAGCCTGCAACATTTTTGATTTTGCCGTTTTGGACTTTCTTTAAGGATTCTTTTACCGCACAAAGAAAGAAAACGACTTATTGAAGACTTTGATAATTATAAAACACAAATAAATATGTATATGATTCATCGTACCTCGAATTTTGAAATAAAATGTTTGCATTGTTTGATTAAAGAACGATTCCGTATAACAGATTTTGATATACAATTACAGATTTCAATTAGAGTATTTAATATTAGTATTGAATATCTTATAACCTTGTTAAAAGCTTTTAGACATTTACGAGGGTAAATCATTTTAATGTAGTATTAGTTTTGAATATCTTATAACCTTGTAAAAAGCTTTTAGACATTTACGAGGGTAAATCATTTTAATGCTTTTAGATGGACCAAATACAGTCAGCTTAAACGTAACATCACCATATGATGTGTTAGAAGAAAAATCTCTGATTATACAATGTAAGGCAGAATGTTATCCTGGATGCTCCTACACATGGGTTAATGTAACAAGTGGTTTAATGATGAATACCACAGGTGCTGTAATGTATATCGGAACAGTAAACAAATATATGACAGGAGATTATAAATGCGAAGCTAAAAATAATGATGCTTCAATCTATGTGAAAGCTGCAGATATTGTTGTAACAATTAATATAAAAGGTAAAGTTATTATGTTTCGGTTTCTTGATATTTATTTTAAGTGTAATTATTAAGGTATAAACTCATTTAATTAACACATGTAAAATGTTTTAAAAAGTTAAACAACATAAACAATTGCATAACAGATTCTTTTTAAACATTAGATGTGATAATGATATATATTGCGAAATATGGAAATGTTAAGATAATTGAATTTTGTCAATTAATTTTAGAACAAACGTTTTTGAAATTTTTCTACATTGGAAGTCATATCAATACGACAGTTGTTACCGTGGACGAGCTGGAAGTTGGAATAATATTTACATGTACAGTCAGTGGGGATTCTGCTGAAAACATCAAAATAACTCATCATGGACAAATCTTAAAAGAGGAACAAAATGCAAGCTCTTTGAAATTTATCCACAAGACAGTGAATTGTTATGATAGCGGTGAATATAAATGTGAAGTGAGAAATAGGGACATGAATGTATCAAGCGGAAATGTATCAATGTTTGTTAACTGTAAGTCTATATTTAATAGATGTATTTGGTATAATGTCAAATGAATTGAAATAATTTCTTTAAATAAACATATGTATAAACATTGTTACGTCATTAGTTTATGGCACTTGATTTAATCTGTTTAAATTGAGACTATGCATTTTGATTTTATAAGAAACGAATTTAACTTTTAATTTTAACATGTTTTTCTAATTATCCCCCGCCGATGGAATCGAGAGGCGGATATTGTTTTGGCGTTGTCCGCCCGTCCGTCCTTCCGTTCATCCGTCCTTCCGTTCATCCGTCCGTCCAAATTTCGTTTTGGCGCTACTTCTCTGCAAATACTGGCTGGAGTTCATTGAAACTTTATGGGAATGATCAATATGCACATATCGTCGGCTTGTTCCAGTCAGACCTTTTAAATCAGAGTTATGCAGTATGCATATATAGCAAAAATCGTTTCCGTGCAACTTCTCTGCAACTACTGGCTGGAATATAACGAAATTTTATGGAAACCTTTAATACATGTACCAAGAAGAGATACGCATATCATTGGCTTGTTCAAGTGAAACACTTTATCTCAGAGCTATGGCCTTTTATTAGTTATACAGTATGCATAAATAGCAATAATCGTTTACGCGCTACCTCTGCAACTACTGGCTGGAATTCAACGACACTTTATGGGAACCTACAATACCAAGAGGAGATGCGCATTTCATCGCCTTGTTCCGGTCACACACTAACTCTGAGTTATGGTCCTTGATTAGTTATGAAGTATGCATATAGAGCAATAATTGTTTCCACGCTACTACTCTGCAACTACTGGCTTGAATTCAATCAAACTTTATGGGAACCATTTATACTAAGATGAGATGTGTACAATTTGTTACCTTGTTCAGATCAGACCCTTCATTGTAGAGTTATGGCACTTGATAAGCTATGTAGTATGCATATAGAGAACTATTGCTATTTCTTTGCAACTGCTGTATTGAATTCAACAAAACTTTATGGGAACCATAGATACAAAAAGGCAATTTACACCTCATTGTCATGCCCAGATATAACTATTTAACACCGAGTTAATTAAGGCTTTGTTATTGCCCTGAATATTTATTATGTACAAAGAATATTACTTTTTACGCTATGATAAATATATAAATAAAGCCTTGTGTCTTCAGTTGTTGTGTTTGTAGTAACTAGTAATCGGCGGAGGATATTTTATATAATTCAACGAATTTGCTTGCTTAACATTATGATTGTAGTTAACCTAGTGAAATTATATTCATTTCTTTTTATATAATGCCAAGATATATTGTTTTAATTTCAGCCGAGTGCGCCGTTTTAATCAAAATATTTATGCTCCCGGAAGGGGAAGCATGTTGTCACCACTCTGTCCGCCCGTCTTTTTTATGCATCCGTCCGAATTTTTTGTTCGGAACAAACTTCTGAAACTAAAAAGATGTATCACAATAACATTAGTAGGTAGATAGATCTCACTGAGTAAAAATGTACTGCATTATAACTGTAACTCTGATTTGCCTATTTTGTAGTTATTACCTTTTTTTCATTTTTATACTTTAAACGTTTTTCCGGGTACACATAAGGTGTCAAAATAAAACTTAGTTGGTAGATAGATGTTATTGATTGACGCGCAGTGCATAAGAACCGTAACGCTGCCTTGCCTAAATTTGGAGTTTAATTTTTTAACCTTTGAACTTTGTCCGGGACATTCTGAAACTACCAGAGGTATCAACGAGAAACTACTTCTACGTTTTTTAAACCTATTCATGGAGCCTCCCTCCGTCCGACTTACCCTTGTTAAGCTGTGTCTATATTTCTTAACAATTTTTGAAAACTATTAGTTTTATTAATACTTCAACAATTTATTTTGATAATATAGGTTCACCGCGCCCAGTACGGAAAATACAAGAAAAGTTCCCTGTTCCACTGGACGCACCTGTCACATTGACATTTGAGGCTCTTGCGCATCCAGAACCTGGTCCAAAAGGGTTTGCTTGGTACAATTTTAGAGAAACAAGATGGTTACAAATTTTAACAAATGAAGATTTTCAAATTTCTTCTTTGGGGTTAGAGACCAATCTCACAATATTTAGCGTTTCTCAGAATGATTACGGACAATATCGTGTTACTACAATGAACAGTATTGGAACATATAATCAGTATTTTTCTCTCTTACAACAAGGTAAGTTTTTTTAAAAACCCTGATGGTATTATATTTGAAAAATGTTTGAACAGGCAACACTTGACACTGCTTATTTATATTTAAATCGTATGTCCTAGCCATTTAAATGATATAAATAGATACATCAAAAAGAAATTGGATTTTATTGAAAAACAATATTATAACTCTCAACAATATATGCTTACTGCCATATTTTTGGTCATTGACATAGAAGATCTACAATTTGTCGAAACATAGAGGAACACATATGAATGTTTGAAGACTGTTTACAAAGAAGACACTGCAGATTCATATAAAGTAAATACAATTGGTGAAGCAATCAATTGGCAAATAAATGCAATGAATTGAAAAAACTGTTTCTGGAAAATACGAGTAGGTCTGTAATTGATATGTTTCAAATAAAAAATGTTAAAAATAAGATCATAAAATGTAGATCGATATAAAATAAACTGAAACCAGTAACACTATAGTTTAACATTTGACGAGATGTATGTGTTTTCTTTATTCGATATTAAGAAGTTAAGCTATTACACACGTGTCAAATGACAAGACAAATACAAACAGAACAGCTACAAACACACTGGAAATCATAATTACGGTTTTAACTCGTTCAGTATGTAATAATGTTGTCCAAACGCAATTTACAAACGAACTTAACCATTGCAGAACCGGCTTCACCACAAGTAAGAAAAGAAGATTGTAAAGATGGTGATACACTGACAATTGGAATAGTTATAGGAACAGTTTTTCTTATCCTCACAATTTACGCAACTTCAATAACCGTTCTATGGAAACGGAATGTCTCCTTCAGTAAAAATCGAAGTACCACTTTTATGATGAAAAATATAGGTAAGCAACATGTATAACAAATAACTATGCGGTATTAATTGAAAATTTACAATATATAGATCATATTCCAGTTTTTCCTATAAATACATGATTTATTTTCATCGAGTGGTATGAAAATAAATATTTCATGAGTGGCGGTAGCACCAGTTGAACATAAATCTTGTATTCAGAGAAAAAAAAATCTGTTTATTATATACATAATTCTATTTGATATTACACTATGAAAGTATTCCCCTTACATTTTGTGTATTGGCTGAATTTAGAAAAGGTTGTCCGGCAAGACACCAGTGAGACTACAGAAAATATGATTTTACAATCAAATACGGAATATGAAAATACGATTTTTTTATTTCACCAATAACACGTGATGTCATTTGTACGATATATATACATAGCGTTAAAGCACAAATGCTACTGTTACAATTTAGGCATGTCATTGAAAAAATACACTTTTTAATAATTTGTCATTCTTGTTTTATATAATTATGTGATAAATAGAATAGCATATTCGTGTAGGTTAAATACTTAATTTATTGAATTCGTTGAATAAACAATATTATTCTCGCCAGAGGCTCGCATACTATGATTTTTTTCAACTCGTTCAATAAATTTAGTATAAAATCTACACTCATTCAATATCCACTATAAATAGTTGATAGATGAAAAAATATGATAAAACTTAAAAAAGCTACTTTTTATACCCCTGGGTATATAGGAGTCACCCGGTTGTCGGTCGGTTGGTCGGTCGGTCTAGCGGTTCGTTGCATTTTCCTTGTCCGGAGCATAACTTAAAGACTAATAGTTGAAATTCAATACAACTTCATATAATGGTCAAGAACATTAAGAGAAGGTGCAGCGCACAAAAAACATAACTCCGTCTTCACTAATTACAGAGTTATTGTCCTGTGTTACTTTTCATTGTCCGGAGCATAACTTGTAAACTACTGGTAGGAATTGAAAACAACTTCATACAATGGTCAGACACATAAAGGAAAAGTGCAGTGCACAAGAACCATAACTCTATCTAAAGTAATTAAAGAGTTAGTGCCCTTAGTTACTTTTCAATTGCTTTCATTTGTTTTGACCATAACTTGACGACTAATGTTTGGAATTCAATTTAACTTCATACAAGGGTGAAGAACATTAAGAGGAAGTGAGTGAAGTGCACAGGAACCATAACTCAATTTTGACTAATTACAGAGTTACTCCCCTTTGATATTTTTCCATTGCTTTTTTGTCCGAAGCATAACTTGAAGACTAATAGTTGGAATTCAAAACAACTTCATATAATGATCAAGCACATTGAGAGGATGTGCAGTACACTGGAATCATAACTCCATCTTGACTCATTACACAGTTATTGCCCTTTGTTACTTGTCCGGAGCATTACTTGAAAAGTAGTGGATGGAATTCAAAACAACTTCATACAATGGTCAAGAAGAAGTGCAGTGCAAAAGAATAATAACTCTATCCATAGTAATTATAGAGTTAATGCCTTTTGTTACTTTTCCATTGCTTTTTTCTTGTCCAGAGCATAACTTGAAAACTACTAGTTGGAATTTAATACAATTTCATACACTGGTCAAGTATATTAAGATGAAGCACAATGCACAGAAACCATTACTCTTTCTTGACATATTTAAGAGTGTTTGCCCTTTGTTACTTTTAATTGCCCAATGCATACCTTGAAAATTAATGGTAATAACCATAACTCAATCTTTATTTTTTACAAGGTGTTTTGTTTCTAGTAACTTCCTCATTTCCGAAGCAGTCTTGCGGGGGTATTAATCACATTTAGTGATAGTCCTAGTTTCAATAGCTTTGTATAATTCTGTTTTGAATTATGTTGGATAAATTCGTTGTTGGAAGAGTCGTTGTTGCACGTTACTAAAATTGTGACTCAGGTCGCCATGTAAAACATCTGACTGCAACGGTTTGCCTGGTACCAAATTATCAAAAGAAAATGCGACATGGCATATCACTGGAACTTAAAAACCGACACTGAAAATGAAAAGTAGAGAACGAAACGCGGAGCGCATACTTTTTTGATCTTTTTTTGTTCGGGCATTTACATTTGCAGAAGCCCTCGGGTCTATGAAGTCCATCTTTGTCCCGTTCTTTACGCACGTCCTCGTGCATCTGCATATGATAATGCTTAACAAAAGCATCGCCCTTTTATTATGCATAACATTGGTCGATATATCTATCGCTAGTCTCTTTTGTTTTTGTAAGATCTCTTTTTAGTAATTAGTGTTTACTATAACAAGTGCTCAAACAAGAGGTGCATTTTATATCTATTAGATGAATATGAGTAACATTTCAAGTATGTTGAAATTATAGAACATAACCTTAATAGCATGTATTGCAAATTCTGTTTAATAGAAATTGTTTTGTATTTAAGGCATAGACAGACGCAATGAATTACAGGGACAAACGTAAGTAGTTTTTTGTTATTTTTCTTCTTTATTTAATTTATTATATTTATTTATTTATATATTAAATTATTTATTTATTTGCTTATTAATTATTTTAATAAATTATTTATTTTTCTATTACTTTGGTGAGAAAGTTTAGCTTATGTACTATAGATTGATAATGAAAATGTAAAACATTGTATAATAACGATAACAAATAAGATACATGCCTTTTTCATAATACATAGAAGACAATTCTTTAAATGTTTATACCAAATAAATCATTTGATTGATTAAAACTATTACACTTTAGTTTTGAAATGATTTAATAATATGCACCTTTTGTTGTATTTGTTTTGTGTTTTTAACGTATATATGCCCCCTTCCTGTAGACAAATATTTTCCGGCATATTTTTCATTTTCTAGAACATACGTCAATATGAACAGTTCATCAAACGACCAGGACGTACAGCAACGCGTTGAAAGTAAAGCTACTTTTGAAGACGATCCAAGTAAAACACAGTATACAGATCTGGATGACTTTTCACGGGATAAAGGAAATAATGTGTACGCCGCTATCAAAAGAAATTGATAATTAATTAAGAAGATGACTACCATGAGCTATTGTAGCTCTCGGTCCAATTCCTTTCTGCTTAAATTGTAAATTATTAACATGTATATATTACCTTGAATAAAAATATGTTTAAACCAAAAGAAATCGATACCATTACTATATAAAGCATAACTATTAACATTGCATTTTTGTATATTTGGAAATATTTAATACAGCCGTGCTGTGATACATTATAACACAAATAGTGGATAATTCAGCTCAAATTGACAACAATAAATTTCTTATAGTTTCATCTTATATTTACTAAATCCGTTGCTGTTAAAAAGTCGCAAGTCATGACTTGTGATTTTAGTGCAACTACGTCTAACATAGTGCACTAATAATTATTTTTTTAAAAATATGATAATGGAAGTTGTAGTATTACAATCAAAATAAGTGTTTATAAAAAACAAAAAGTCATTATTTATATCTATACACCAGATGGAAAGATTGCGATTATTATTTATATCTCCCGCCTGCTGAGCTCAATAGCCATGGTAATTCAAAGGTCGCTAGTTCAATCCTCGGGCGAGGCGAAAATTCTCGGTGACAATTGATTTCGGACAGTTAATCTTTTGATTATTTGTCTCTTACCACAGATTCAAAAATCATGGGTCACTTGCCAAGAAATTGGTTGTTTATAGTGAATTATCCGGATAAGTCGGTTATTAGGATTGATGTATGACTAAAATGTGTTAAAACCGGCTTAAAAAAAGAAACAGAAACAATATTATGCAAACTAAAAATGGTTTAAATTTGTAGTTATTGCATTTGAAAAAGATCAACAATAAAAGAAAGTGTTTCTTGATATGAAGAACAATGAGTTTCGATCCGATGATTTATTAGTATGAATGCTACCATTTTAGTAATGGATTGTAACATAACAATTCCATTATCACTGAACTTATCATTTATTTAACTTACAACAACCAATTGAATATTTAATACCATAATTACTTGAAGGTAAGACTATTTCATGCACCAATTTGGAAATTAGAAATGAAATAATTGATATTAAGGTATCGTTACTTTCCTAATTATCAATCGTCATAGAAAGTGACTAGAATTTATCAATATTAAAAATATTGTACCCCGGGACATATCATTTTGATATATTCTGATGTATATCCCATCAGCATTTTTTCACGTCTAAATTGTTTCTAATGCAGAGACCTTAATGATTATGAGGCATTGTTATTTTACTGTAGCATTGGTGATCGTTGTTTTGGGAGCAGCGTACCAGAATCTTATTATGTTACATATGAGTCTAATAACAGGTAAAATGTTAGACACGAAATTTGTGGATTGAATTATTTGTTTTCTTTTACATAAGAAATATTGAGATTTCTTTGAATAAGTGTCAAAAAAATTGTTACTGTGCGCATGTCGAGGAAATGATCTTTTTTATTTAAAAATAAAACTTTAAAGACTAAATATGGGACGTTTAACTGTCTTGTTTCTTGTTGTTTGTTTGTGTTATTTGTGTATGTAATTTGTTGCCCTTCGATTAAGGATTCTGTAATGAAGACATTAGTCACTCAACAGTTAAGAGCATGGTCATACTGCAGGAATATAAATCTTGCCTGGATCTTGGATGTTTGCAATACATTTGGACGGTAGTTAAGCTATTGGCTGATAACAAAGGCTAATAACGTTTAATTCCAGTAGTGTACGTTTAATATGGGAGTAAAATAAAAAGATTTATCAACTTATGGCCAACGATATTTCATTTGAAGGAAAGAAATGTTGAGTATCACATTTTATGCTATTTCTGTCAATACCCCCGTGAATATTAGGCGACTGTGTTAAAATGCGACAAAGTCTCTGGAAAATGGCATAGTTTGATGCATACACTTGTTCCTCTTCCGCTGAATATAATAAGGTCCTGCATGATTTAAATTCAAGCATTTTTTCCAAAAGCTTTCATTTGTTACTACAACATGTATAACGTATTCATTCTTTTTATTCCATTGAACATACATTTGAAATTTAAAGATAATTTCATTGGAAAATTTGATTTAATATGAGGTTCATCGCACTGAGATACTAAAAAGGCACCTTCGCACTGCCATTTCCATGATCAATCATATTGCCTGTCCGCACTTTTGTTTTATTATATTATGTCATTTACTTTACGATACACAATTTTTTTCCAACGTAAACAAAATTTATACATTATACATCAGCAAAGAGTTGATATTTCCTTCTTAAACAAAGGGCAAACATGAGATTACTAAAATTTTAAATAATGGTGACTTCGTGCTGCGCATTGTCTTTGTCAGGTGGACGTGTGAGCTACTTTTATGAACACAAATCAATTATTTGAAGTGATATAGTATTAGTTTATAGTGTTGACGTCTCCGGGTATATTTTATGCATATAAAAAAATGCCAGTCGTACTTTAAACGTTAAAGGTATCTCAAATTAGATACTCAAGTTAAGCTTTGAGCATTATACGCGTAATGAGATGATAAAAGTTTTGTAAGGTTAAAGTCACAAAATGTGTAGGTTTATGACTTTATATCGTTACAATCGATATTGTTGTGAATCCGGGGCCTGACTTCCTTATTGGAACGTCGCCTGCCAGTGCCGTAACAACTATGACCGGTAATAAGCCATTTTTATTGATTGAATTGATTGTATCAATTTAATAAATGAAATATTGTTCGCTCTTAATTACATTATCCTCTATTACATGGAACATTTCTTCACAGTCATTTATTAATTCTTGAAAGCTCTAAAATATAGACATAAAGACATGGTTGGACGCCCTTTTAAAACATTTATCACTATAAAATTAAATGTTTATAAGTAGAAAAAAAACTTATGTTCATCTCATGAACATTTTGTGCTAACAGTTTTAAAACCGACATTTTTCTAGATAATGAAATTGGCATTCCATTCAAATAGCACTATTCAAACGCTCATGCTTGTTCTAGTTTAAGTCTAAGTTCATTGTGTAATTTCATTCAACACCTTCGTTATCTTTGTTGGAAAGTGACACATTGAGGGTTCTGTATCAACAGCCGTATGAAGACATCTGCTGTTATTGCTAGATGTATTTTGAAATTAATTATGTTCTTACTCTTTAGGCCAGCACAGGGGCAGGGAAGGTTTGGGGGGACGGTATTTTGCATATATCGCTATCATTCACAAACAATCTTTGTTTAAACAAGAATTTGTAACAGAGTTACCAACGTCTCCCGCCTCGGAGAATTTTTATACGAAGCATAAAATTGTGCTTTTTCAAAAGATTGAGGTATGGATCTCAGGACTTTCAGTCAAAACTTATACGCAATGCTAGATCGGCAAATACAACAACAAATTTATTAAAGAAAGGAAATAAAACACATAATTAAAAAAAATTATCATGTAAAGCTTTGAATTGTGACCTTAACCTTGGAGGTAAGGATGCAGGTGTTAAGCATGACATATCGTCTTATTATTGTAACTATTTGTTCCGAGTATTTTCAAAATCCCTTGAACTGGGAAGAAGTTATACATCGGACACAAAATACACCCAATGATAGACTATGTAAATCTTTGACCTCTAAGTGTGACCTTGACCATGGAGGTAAGAACAGAGATGTTACGTATGACATATTATATTATCATTGTGACTATTTGTGCCAAGTATTTTCAAAATCCCTTGATCTATGAAGAAGTTATGGACAAGACACAATATATACCATATAACAGACTGTTAAGCTTTGACCTCTACGTGTGACCTTGACCTTGGAGGTAGGGGTACAGGTGTTGTACTTGACATATAGTCTTTTCATTGTGACTTTGTGTGCCTAGTTATTTTAAAATCCCGAAGAAGTTCTTGATCGGACACAAAATATACCCTAAAACAGACTATGTAAATTTTTGACCTCTAAGTGTGGCCTAGAACTTGGAGGTAGGGATGCAGGTGTTGTGCATGACACATTGTCTTATTATAGTGACTATTTGTGGCAAGTATTTACAAAATCTTTCGATCTATGAAATCGTTACAAACTAGACACAAAAATATACCCTTTAACAGACTATGTTAATTTTGGACCTCCAAGTGTGACCTTGACCTTGGAGGTAGGTGACCGGTTGTTGCGCATGACACATTGTCTCATTATTGGAAACAATTGTGACAAGTGTTTACAAAATCCCTTCAAAGATAAAGAAATTATAGACCGGACACGACATATAACCTCAAATAGAATATGTTGACCTTGAATGAGAAAGTGCGACCTTGACCTTTGAGATAGCGGTCTGGTTGTTGTGCATGATTTGTGTTAAGGTAGACCATGGGTAATGGGCACCATAAGGAACTGTAAAATTGACAACATAGGACAGTTATATGTCTTCAAGGTCACCTGTATGCAAAATTTAAATAAAATTTACCGTGTGGTTTATGAGTTATGGATATATTTCTGAACTAAGACTTTGCCATTAGAAGGGCTTATTTTCAGAAATGAGGAGACTGTAAATAATCTGTAATATCATCATTATAAAAAATGTTTTTCTATTGCTCATTGTTAAGAAACAAATAATAACATTCAGGTAACACATTACACAAGCAAAATGTTTGTTTCTAAACAAAATGTTCTTAATATGTATAAAAATGTTACTCTACCCCACCCACTTTTAACACTAATTTTACCATTTCCCTATCTAAAATGCCTTATTCAAAATATCCCTAAAATTTATCGAAATGAGGGTCTGTTTTCAAAGTTTGCCTAAATTTTCTCAAAGGTATATTAGTTGATCATGCCAAATATAAAATACTTTTACCGTGTAGTTTTTATTTTATCGAACTTTGAAAATATCTGGTATCATATTTGCTATAAATTTTGGCATTATTTAACAAAAAAAAATACCTAAAATAATTATATAATTTAAATCAAACTTTTTTTCTTCCATAAGGGATCAGAGAGATACCTAAATAATGTTAAAAAGAAAAAAAGAAAGAAAAAAAAGTTTCCCCTTCTGGGGTTTGAACCCACGCCCCTCAATTTCAATGTAGTTTACAAGCGATTCTAGCCTATTTGAATACTCTTCAAAGTGGAGGTAATGCATTACCCATGGTCTACCTTAAGTTATTTCAGATTCCTTTGATAAATGACAAAGTTATGGACCAGACATGAAAGTGTGACGGACGGACAGACGGAAGTTCTCACAGGACAGTAATTATGTGGATACACTATTGTTCTCTCTATTGCTCTTTTTTTCTTCTGATGTATACCTGATACTGCTTCTATGTTTAACTCAAAATAATGAAACTTAAACAAATGTTGTTGTTTCGTCGTTGAAAGAAACATATTGTGTATAGCAATAACAAGTATTTTTCAAATCATATGGTAAGAATGTATACATATATATATATACGCTAGTAACAGAAAGAATCTAGATCGATAAAATGATACGAGGCTTTTTTGATAACTACTTTCTAAATAACTAGCCATCATTTGCAGTCTCAATATTTACTTTTACTGTTTTCGCTGTTTGATTTTTAAAACAAACAAATAAAAAAAACGTTTGAATCTTTGTGACAAAGTAAGAAATGAATAAAGAATCAATATTTATTTAACAAACATGTAAAAAAATGAATAATTAAGCAATGTTATTGTTCGTCTGTCATATAGACTCTAGTTCATTTTTTCACAGTCAGATTATACTTATATAAAATAAATAGAGAACATTCTTTATTTTGTACCGATCTTAATTAAAATCTGCTAAAACTAATAACAAAGTCTTGTTTCGTATCAACACATTTTTGTGACGCCATTCCATGATATAAACAATCTAGAGACATTGTCACTTTTAACGTTGGGATCTTTTACTAATTAATATTTCTCCACCAATGATTCTTTACTTGAAGCCTCCAATTTTTAGGTTTTCGTACATATTTACATTGTCAGTGATATCATGGGTTTGAAGAGCTGAACAAAAGAGTAGATTTATTTGTCAATAGGTGAAACGTTAGGCAACTGAAATGCAATTTACAAAAGTTTAACAATTATCAGATTTTGTCATGACAATTTTGCTTTAATGCGCATCTTGTCAAAAATAAAAACAACAACTCATATCGTTGCAAAGTGTTTAGACAATATAAAACAAAATGTGTATAACTATGTTAAATACACTTGCTGCTATATTTAATAGCACAATTGCCTATGATTTCAACTGATTATGAGTACTCAAAGACCGCTTTTTCAGTCGGTGACCCGGGGCCGATAACTGATAATCATAATCGGCCAGCTGAACATGAAT